GGTGTAGCACGCATATGATTAAGAATCGAAAAATGAATCAAAGGTTAAGAATTCTGAATTCACTTCTTTCGAAACATTCAAAACTAAAACTTAGACAGGAATTGAACACATACAATTACTTACTAAAACCTATTAGGACTTACGCATCGCAGATATTTGGACAACTAAAAAGACTCACATAAACAAACATCAAATCTTTCAAGCAAAGACTTTCAGGACAATGACAAAAGCAGCTTGTACGTTAGCAATATAACCTAACATACTGACCTCCATATGCGACTGTTAAAGAACACATACATTTCTATCATACTCTAAATATGAAACGATTGATTTATGATAACTAAAATATGCCATGAATACTGTTGATTGAAATCTATTCGCTAAGTATCTAACAAAACTATCAATATTAATCGTTGTTCTAAATTTTATTGTGCTTTCATTTGGATCATTTGACATATCCAAATCTAATGTTTATTTCATAAAATCAACTAAAGGCTTCCATTTATCTTTTGAGAAATCAATATTGAAATTTCCTCTTGAAATCATTAGTAATGAAATATTTTAGTGTAAATGTTCAAAACAGTCATTAGATATTATTTTTATTTATTATGTTATATTTTTCCCTTTTTCTCTCTCTAACACGGCGTCGTCTCAAAATACGATTTTGAATAATAGTCCATTGCAAAGAAGATGAAATGCTGAACATTTCTCACACTTACAGTACGCATGTCCGATTTTTAGTATCTGAGACATTTTAATCCACATACAAAAATTAGTCGACTTTACCCAAATGAGCACTACATAATCGAACATGACTGCTCAGTCTCATTCAATACTCACAAAATAAAGTGCCAAGCTCACCTAAAGAAGTTTTTACTTAAAAACAAAAAAACTCGTCAAAATTTAAGATTTTGAGAAAATCTCCTGAAAAAATGTTTTGATGAATTCAAAATTTAATTTTGAATATCTCAAAATTACGGATTACTCAAATGCACCACAATTATCCTATTTATCTATATAGTTTAATGGAAAAAAAATTAAATAAATATTTTAGAAATGACCCATTCTTCCTGAACCATTTTTTTCCCCTATGTGTTATGAAAGTCATAAATGAGGATATGCCATACATATTTGATTTATAAGTTTTTGAAAATAATTAACCATTTTCAATAATTTTCAACATTTTATTTCTCTGTTTAGCATTAATGAAACAACTTAATCTCTTTTTATAGTTTTTTAACAAAAATACGAGGAAAACAGGACCTCTGTGACTGATCTCAGATACTCACGCTTTTCTTATTCCTCATTGTCAATTTAATTTTGAATATTCACTTGATATTTTAAACATTTTCAGAGAATTTGAATTAAAATTAAAAGAAGCTATTATACCTTAATCTGGTATTTAAATGTTTTTTTTTAAAAAAAGCTTTTGTGAACTTCTGATAAATATACAATATAAATATTTATACAGAGAGATAAATATATGAAAATCGTGGGAAAACTGATATTTTAATTCACATTATAATGAAACAAACAAACTTTTCTCCATTGTAGAATTCAGATTTAATTAATTTCATAATAGACAATTATGGATAGAGTCAGAGATACTAATCATACCATTTCAGCCGAAAATGTTAATTTCATTTTCAAACCAAAGTAGCAAACTAATAATATGATTAAAGGAATACAAATTATTTGAATTCTTAATAATAATTAGATTAATTTATATGGCCAGAGCCTTAGATTGCAAACTTGTCTGTTAAAAATTATTATTTTCAAAATAAACTTATTATGAATACTTTACATATTAACTATGGATCTATTTAGGGATATCCTTAGAAAGAAGTGCCATGAAATGCTTCATTAAAAATGGGGCAGAAAAAAATGCCATTTTTAGGTGGTCTGAGGAGAGGGTGATTGTTGAAAGAATAAATTGAAAAAAAAATACTGTGATAAAGTAAAATTATAGATAGCTAATTTTTGTTACGCATGAAGTGATGAAGAGTAAGTGGTAGTCGATGTATGTGAAAACGAATTCACATTAAACAGTAACAGCGGTGTTTAAAGGGGTGAATTTCTGTATAAAGGGAAGTATATGAATGTATTAATTCTATATGGGTACGTAAATATTGCATAATGTAAATATCTAAAGCAATACTGAATTTGTAACTAACTAAAGTCTGAAACAAACCTATGTTTTTTATAAACCATCTATTATGAATGCATTTCTAAATATTTTGTAAGAGATATCGGGGAGAAAAAACAAAAAATTGTTAATTTTAATTTATTGCTACATAAGCTCGCCCTTTAAATAGCAACTAATTGTAGTAGAGCTATAACAATTATCTACTGCCTCATTATCCTTCACTTGTCTAGAGGTGTGAAATTCTCTTAAGGGAGAGCTACAGAAGATCATAACGAATATTATTTTGCAAGTTTAGAAGCTAAGAAATAACAAAGAATACCTGTTGAAGTCAATTTTTAACAAAAAAATAACTAAAAAACGAAATACAGTGGTTTGAAAAAAATCTTCAAACAAACCTAATTTTTATATAAATGCTCAATGTTTCAACTTAAAACTATTTTTATCTTCTTAATTGTAAACTGGTATAACCTTGCATGTAATATATATAAGATGTAATATATACTTAAATTAACAGCCTCTTAGCAGTTGTCTTACCTTCCTATCTGTATGCATTTGGATTTCATGGAATGGCGTTCGATTAGTTATTTTTCTTTCCTGATGATGCCTGAATTGGCGAAACATTGAAGTAAACAAATAATGCGTGTATGTCCTGATCTACTTCCCATCATTTTTCAAGTACTTGTTTTAGGATGAATATCTGATCTAGCATACTCCTTCCTCTCCTGAATCCTGTTTAATGGTCGTATATTATGTTTTCATAATACGGATATATCTGATTCAGTAGAATACTGGTCATTATTTTATAGGCGACTGGAAGAAGTGCTATGCCACTGTAATTGCCACATTCATACATGGAGACCTTCTTAAGCATAGGACAGATCAACCCTGTGTTCCATTATTCTGGTATCTGTTCCTTCTCCCATATCTTCTTGATTAGATCTAATAGCTTGGCTCTGAGGTCTTCTCCCCCATCCTTGAACAATTCTGTTGATAGGTTGTCTATCCCTGGAGTCTTTCTTCTTTTAAGCCTGCCGATAGCTATTTCCACATCCAGAATATCTGATTTCTCTATCTGAAGTGGTTCAATGTCCTCAGTGTGGTCCATGTATTCTTCATTTGTGGGATGCCCTTGATTAAGCAGCTGCTGGAAGTGTTCCTTCCAGATGCTTAGGATCTTTTCTTTTGATGCCGTCAATTTGCCATCTTTCCCTCGCATTTATGTATTTCTCGCTTTATATTCTACCCTCTCTTTCCTGATATCTGCGAAGAATTCACATATATTTCCAGCCTGCCATTTTTCCTCTATAGTTTGTAATCTTTCTTTGAGGAATTGTCTTTTGGCTGTTCTTATAATTGTTTGTCTTTTTCCTGACGGCTGTGTATTTGTCCAGCATAGCTTGATCAGTTTGTCCTAAGCAGATGACTTTTCTTCTTTCCTCCACTGCCTTTTCGCATGCTTCTGTGAACCATTTCTTAGCTTCTTTTTTTTTCCTGAATCCTCATTACTTCCTTAGCTGTTTGTTTTAGCCCTGACTCTAGTGCCTTCCTATATATATATATATATATATATATATATATATATATATATATATATATATATATTATATATATATATATATATATATATATATATATATATATATATTATTTAACAAGCTTCAAAACACTGAATAAGTTTGACACCTCTATGATAAGCTCCATGTACAACATACTGACAATGGCACAAATAAAGCAGATTTAATACATATTTGTTGAAATATCAGTTCTTTGATGTAGGGTAAGATGTAGGCCGAGATAGATTCTTTGAGACAAATGAAGGAAAGAAGGTGAAGAGAGTCTTCCTAGAGTATCAGAATTCTTAGAACTGAAATTTGTTTAGATTTAATAGCATTTTAAAGAGCTATAACAACTAATAACAGTTAGACATTTGGTGTCTCCACGCAATGACATCATCTTCCAAAAAAAAATTATTTTTTAAGTTGTTTACTATTAAGTATTTTTTTTATTTTATTTCATTATACATTTCTCTAATTCAGTTGCTTTATTAATATGCTAAGATTAATTGTTCTCATATAATTTTTTATTTAAATTCTAAAAAGTGGTGTAGGCGCTCCTCTGGACTGAGACCCCCGTGTATATTCCTGGATTTCCCTGCCCTAAGGTCAGCAAGGTCTCTAATTAAGTTTCTTTAATAGATTTCGTATTTTTAATGAATCCTAACAAGTGGCAGTTGCCTATTCCTGCCCATTGCCTCCAGACAATTGCCTAAGCCTGGCTCTGCAAAGCATATGGTCTAACAGCTTGAATGTTATACAACTGAAATCCTTGAATCCAATAGAAAAGTTATAGAGGAAATAAAGATTACGTGTATTCACTATACACATATAATATATGAAATAAATATATGTGAAGAGTTTTAACTCTAAAATATGGATAGACAAGTGATTTAGTAATTTTTTTTCTGATACTCCATTTTATTTATTTATATTTAGATATTATATACATGAAATTTATTTATCTTTTTTTTTTTTTTCTTTTTTTTTTTTCTTACCCTCCAAAATGTTTATTGAAACAATTTACATATATAGTATACAATAATACAATATATACATGTAACAAATTCCTTCCACTGCCAGAGGGCACTTTTTAAATTCAAAATTTATTTATCAAGGTATTAATTAATTTTTCACTTTGTACATGCAACTTTGTTCATTGAGTCTCAATAAATAATTGATAAAAAAAATCTGTGAATTTCTGATTTGATTTTTGTTATATATTTACTAACTACTAGTGTTATTTTCCGTAGTAAATATTTAAATAAGTTTAAAAATATTTATTATTTTTTATGTTTCAGAAATGGGATGTGCATTGAATATTTCTGTCATAGTGCTATTAGTTTCTATAGTAATTGGATATTATGTTTACAATTATACATTACCGCCACCAGTACCAAAGATTGAATTAACATATTGGGGACCAGGAACAGAAAAACCCGATGACAAAACCATCAAACCTTTTAAAATTAACATACCCAAATCTGTGAGTAATCCATCAATAGTTATATTTCCCTTAGCAAAAATTTATTTATTGAAATGAGTTAATATATTTATTATTTATTTTATTTATATAGGAGTTAGAAGATCTTAGAGAAAGGATAATTAATACTAGAAAATTAACACCTCCTTTGGTTGATGGCTTTACTTATGGATTCAATACAGTTTATCTGAATAAGTTTGTAGAATTTTGGAAAAATAAATACAATTGGACAGAAAGAGAAACTTATCTCAATAAATATCCTCAATTTACAACAAAAATTGGAGGATTAAATATACATTTTCTACATGTGAAACCTGATAAATCGTTAGTTAAAGGTAACTTTCTAATTTATTTATTTAATCAGATTAAATAACTTAATTACTTCGATTAATTAAAACCTGGTACTTTGTAATAATAAGAATAGCTTCGACAAAAAAGTAAGTGTAACTAATACACATATTAAAGAATAGACATTAAAAAGCAGTTGTACAACTTAAATAAAAAGTATTCCAATACATAAAATATTGTAAAATATTCACATTATATTTCTTCAGCATTAGATGCAGATAAAATGAGAAAAAAAGTTAATATTTTAATGTGAAAATTCAGTTAATCAAAAAAGTAAATATGATTGTCAGTTAATTATTAACTTTTATATATTTAATGAAGATTATTTTATGTGCATAAGAAATAATAAATTCCATAAAAAATAACAATATTCTATGCTTAGATAGTCGATTACATAAAACTTCCTGTGACGTTTGTATTTAGAAACTATAATATGCATTCAATCATTGTATATTTTATACATGTAACTATAGGATACATCAATCATTAAAACTAATATAATCATTCATTCAATTTTTATTTTTTGAGGTCTTATCCCTCAAGCACAAAAGAGAACTAAAAAAAAATAATAATAATCATAATTATAAACCATTAAATTACAATATATTGTAAGAAATTAGATGTTGGAAATTAGGTATTCAAAACAGTTTGCCAATTTCGAAGATTTTTTAAATTTATATCTGTTGTTGGTAAGTGTACAAGTTTATTAATTCTCCTAACTGTTATGATAATTGACCATGACTTCTTACTGATGTTTACAATCTGTTTCCATCCTTTTTAAGTTATATATCTACTTCTTCAATTTTGTAAAGTTTCTTATTTAAATTTATTCATGTGATGTCTAATTTTATCATAGATATAAACTTTAATAATGCAGTACAGGACTTCAGAGGGAATCTTAGGCCGAGGAAAAGAAAAAACCTTAATAATAGCAAAACTATTCTAAAGTTGATAAAGTACTCTAAAATTTCATTTAATTATGAAGTAGTGAACAAGTACCATTCATCATCATCATAAATTATTTTCTCTTTATTGCTTATGCAGTGTGAGGTTACTTTTTGTAGAGATTGGAGCAGGTTGGCCTTTCCTGTACCACCTCTTGTCTCCTGTACCATTCTAAACCTCGCTTCTGGAACGCATCTCGCACACCTTCATCTCAGGAAATTAAGGGTCTTCCTTCTGCATGGGAGTCTCATAAGTCTTCCTTGCAAATCAGCTCTGATCCAATAGAGAAGGTGCCCAAACCATCTCATCTTATGTTCTTTTATAATGGTTTCGCCCCCTTTGACATTGATATTGGCTCGGATGGTTGTATTGCAAATCCTGTTCCACCTTGTCTTCTTCTTCACCTTTTGCAGGTATCACATATCTAGAATCTGGATCTGCCTCCTTTGCTACGAAGTGAATGTCTAGGATTTAGAAGAATACATCAGTATAGGAAGAAACCCTGATTTGTAGACTGCCATTTTCGTTTTCTTGGTTACCTCTTTTCGGTTGAGGAAGCCTAACCGCAGAGCAAAACACCCTTCTAGCAGCCCCTATACTATGCCTCACCTCCTCATCAATAAATCCACTTTCTTCAAGCTGAGCACCCAATTTATTTAAAACTTTACTGTACATAAATTTTACAATTATAAAAATGATGATTCGTAAATATAGAATTAATTTTCAGGGAGGAAAGTTTTGCCGTTATTGATGATCCATGGATGGCCTGGCTCTGTAGTAGAGTTTTATAAAATAATTCCAATGCTAACAACTCCAAGGCCAGATGCTGATTTTGTTTTTGAGGTAATTGCACCATCCCTTCCTGGTTACGCATTCTCAGAGGCTCCATCAAAGCCAGGTCTACATGTGGGACACATTGGATTGATATTCAATGAGTTGATGGCTCGACTTGGTTTTAAGCAATACTATATTCAAGGAGGCGATTGGGGTTCTTTCATTGGCCATGCACTTACCATCTTAAGGCCTGATAGGTGAGTATGAGTATGAGTAGCCAGCCACTTTAATGGTCATAATTTATTTAAATTACTTACTTGATAACATCCTCTTTTACCACTGAGCCTATTTATTGAATCCAACCCAATAACCTCTATCCTATATCAACTGCCATCTCTTTCCAAAATTCATATCTTTCTTGGTTTTATCGTAATAATGTTCCATCAACTTCTGTTGTAAGTTAAGAAAAAAATTTTTTTTTTTTAATTCCTTTTAATAAACTTTGTTGTGTTTTTTTTATTAGCAATGATTTTGAAAATATTATTTTCCTACAAATAAAATAATATTTAATGTAAGAGTCCATTTAATGTAATGTAATTTTAAACTAATAAATGAATTCAACCATAATTTAAATTAAATTACACATCACAATTTAATACAATTTTGAGATCCGAACTGGCTAAAAACTTGTAGTGTTATAGTCATTGAATTATTCTTAATCTTATTATAAACTTTTAAAAAAAATATTATTAATAGTTTGTCATGAAGGCCACATTTTAATCTCAAATTTAATCACTTTATGCTGTAAGTTTCACTTTTTTTTTTCATTTGTATGTTTTGTATTTGTGTGATACTTAAATACATGTAAAGTTGAATTTAAGAGGAATGGGATGCTAGAGCAACTTTTCCGCTGGATTTGGAAAAGGCACATTATATTGTCTTTTACATTTTTTACAATTTACTCTATAACTGCTCTAACAATTTTTATTAAAATTAGTATAGCTATGTAAATTTTAGTGAACTTAAATATAAATAGGTATTAATCTCATTGAAATGGTCTTTCAAGGCTTAAAAACTGTATTTTCAAAATTTCTTTTTCTAATGTATCATTAATTTTATTTATTCACTCACATTGTCTGTATTAATAAAAATCTGTACATATATTATTACAGTAAGGCTCGAAATCGGTTTTGTACCAAATATAAGCTCCTGTCATGCTCAAATACCACGAATGGGGTACCGTTGGATTCAGAATTTCACGGGGGGTTAGCGAATCGTATTCTCCACTTTTGTTTTTCTTTCTAAAATAAATAAAGTCGATACAAACATTTTGCTAGGCTTTGATACTGGAACGGTGGTAGGTCTGTAGATCAATACGGGACAAATTGGATCTTGAAGATTTTAATGCGTACAGCAAGACCTGGATAGTTCCTTCGGAACTATCGGATCCTGCGTTTTTAAGCCGAAAAACATACTATTTTCAAGATAACGCAAGGCATAGGGTTCGCATCCACACAACCTTACATTAACTGTAGTACTGTCATTGAATACATGTCTCATTTCGACAACTTGAGGTCTCTATGATCGAGAGAGGGGAGTTCATATTATTCATCGATGGTGTTTTTGATCGGCAAGCCATATCATCGTTAATTTTTCACCAAATCTCAAGATTGAGCCACCAATTTCAAAGGCTTCCTTCTCCTTCAGGCTGGCAAAATAGTCCAATCACCCAGAAAATTCAGGCAAACAAGTTATGAAAGAAAATAAACTTTATTTGCGAATAACTGAAAAATTACACACTTTTACCGGTTATTTCCATAATTATATAAAAGATTACTAAATTTCCTACAAAAGGAAAAAAAAATCATCTCAATCGGACAATTTTTAGCAAATATACAGCTAACTGAAATTTGTATACATGTTGGTTCCAAACAAAAATGAAGATTTAAATTAATTTTTGTTTGCTTTGTGGATTATATTTATCGATAAAGTAACATTTGATTTCTTAATCTTTTGATAAGTTGCATTTTCCTATTTTCTTATTAATTTGGCATTTGATAATAATATGCTGTGCGAATTTTTCGCACGGGCCTACTAGTATTAAATAAATTTAAAAAGTATAAATATAAACTATGAAAGAATTTGATAATTAACTAAATGAGAAATATGGCCTATCAAATCTTCAAATAATGGTTGAAGTCTTAATAGACCATATTTAATATTTGATAATTAACACATTTGTCCGCAAGACGAAAATTCATCATTTCGCAAAAATCACCAATAGTCAAATGAAGAAAATTCATCATTTGTAGATATATTACAGAAAATATTTTTTCTGCTTTGCCTGTTAATTTAATTTATTAACAATTCTAAATAAATTAACTTTAATTTTTACCAAACAGAGATAAAGATAATGGCTTTTTGTAAATGGTGGTGCAAAACATTACCGGTCTAATATGTGTTAAGACTTAAAATATCCTAATCAATGAACTAACAAAGCCTAGTGTCCATAAACATTACTCATGCCAAATTAAATTAAATTAATGCTTAAAATAAGGAAATAAAATGTTTAATAAATTATGTAGGTAGGTATTTAGAAAGAAAATAAGATATTGGTCGCTAAAAACTGACTTTAGCTTAATAATGAATAAGTATATTGAAACCAAATTACTTTACGTCCTATGTATAGAACATACTCTAATTTAATGTTTTGAAAAAATGTTACCAAAAACATCATAGACGTTTTCAAATATAAAATTTGTTTTTCCATTGAATTAATATACCAAATGATTTAATTAATTAATAATTTATTAACCTGAAATATTCTGGAAACTAACCTATTTGATGATAATGGGTTTAATTAAAGATACAGATACCTCATTTGGAAATTATATCATAAAATAAGAAGAGAAGAATAGTTGGTGTGGTCAGTCAAAAAAGAAAAATAAATAAATATTATCATTTATTTTTGCCTTCTTTTTTGACTGACCACCCCAACTATTCTTCTCTTCATTATCCACGACAGTCAACCATTTACCAATTATAAAATAAGAACATTAAAAATTTATGTTAAAAACTATATTTAAATTTGTGCTAAAGTTTATTATATTGCTAGGTAATTTAATAATTTAAATTTAGTTAATAATTTTCTATTCTTATTATTATATTTAGTAGAAAGTGCTGAGGATTATAACTTAAGTCTGCATTCACCAACAAATCTCTTTATAATTTTCTTTTGTTATCAATTCCTTACTTTTTTATAATCATTATGCAACATGCTATGTTACAGGGTTCTTGGTTATCATTCAAATATCTGTTCAGCTCAAACCCCTAAAGCAAGATTATATATGTTACTATTTTATTTGTTCCCTAAATTATTTGTTGAAGAATCTTTACAAGAAAAATATGTATCGCAATTTTCTGATATGATCCTTGAAAGTGGATATTTTCATTTACAAACTACAAAACCAGATACAGTTGGTAAGATTTAATATGTATAATGTCATAGAAATAGTTTTATTAAAAAATATAAATACTACATATTGTTAGTTTCTAAGACACGACTTATAGTCATCAAGAAGTTAGGTCTGATCAATAGCACAATTTAACACTTTAAGTGTTCTAGTGTGGTTCATTTCAGGGAAGTTAGAGGTACCCAAACCAAGGAGTGGAGGGGTTTTAGAATTATCATGCAGCCATCGAAGGGTTTAAACATTTTAGCTATAAAAATTGGCTGCTTCTTTGCGAGATGACAGATTATTTTATATTTGTCATGTTTTTTAAAGCTAAAAAAAAGTACTATATAACAATAAATAAATAATACAAATCATTATTGTGAATGAAGAGAGAGGATACAGTCGCAGCATGCCTCAATATGGGGAACACACAGGAGTCCCAAGAAGGGAATTTCACCATCAAAATTATTGAGGCAGGCACATTTTGACAGGGCTTTAAATTTTTGAGGGGACACAGTTCGACAGGGTTATGAATTTTCGGAATGGAAAGTTTCAAACCAGGAGCAATAGGGAAACATGGAACAGACCACAGCAAGTGTATTTGTTTACAATCAACAATTTTGTAAATTCTACTTTGCTAGCACTTTTTATAAGAAGAGAAGAGTAATAAAATATCTTGGTGGGGATGGGGTTTATGTTCAGATCCCATTAACCTGGGGGAGAGAGGAGAGATGGGCACACCTGGGAACCCTTAGTTGTGCATTCATTGTAAAAAATTTTGGTGCCCCTACAGTAAACTTTATTTTTAACCTGTAAAATCTAAAAAAGGAAAAATTACATTTATTAATGTATTTTATTGTTCTACATACCACTACATATTAGAAATTCTACAAGAGTTGTATTTGCATATTCTTCTATTTTTAGAAAGCATCAGTATATGACAAGAAAATTTTGGAAAGCACTTATTAACAATCATCCTTATGTAGTCTATAAAATAGTTTATAATATTTATATGATTTTTTTGTTGAAAGTGCTTTCACAAGATATTTAAAAAAGTTAATGGGATAAAACTATTTCTCTAAAATTCAATTTTTCTAAAATTCGTAACGTGTCCATCAGGTGTTGCCCTGACAGATTCACCTGTTGGACTGGCTGCTTATATTCTCGAAAAATTTTCAACTTGGACAGATAGAAATTGGAGATCCCTTCCAGATGGTGGACTTGAAAATCTGGACAAAGTTGAGCTTCTTGATAACATTATGATTTACTGGTTAACCAACAGCATAACTACTTCGGTCAGATTATATAAAGAATTCTTCGTTGACGATATAACTAAACATGGAATGTTTCAGTAAGTTTATTTTTTCAGTTTTCAAAATGAATGCAATATTTTAAAAATATCCATTATCAGCTTTCTGATGACATTATTTAATATCAATGTATTAATTGATAGAGTTTTGTATTCCATTTAATTATTAATTTTTTTTTTTTTTGTAAAATACAGGAGTCCAACTATGGTTCCAACAGGTTGTATTTATTTCAAGCATGAACTAATGATATATCCTCGCCAAATAGTGGAAGAAGGTTTTAAAAATTTAATTTCATACAATCATCAACCAAAGGGTGGTCACTTTGGAGCAATGGAAGTGCCTGAGTTACTATCAGCAGACATTTGGAACTTCATAAAACTGCTCAACAAAAAGAAATAAAATCTAGTGATAAATATAATTTTTATAAAAATATATTTTTATTTTTATAATCTTGTTACATTTTAGAATTTTCTCCTTTTCTTTGGTGTCAACATTAATTTTAAAGTTTCTACATTCTGGATTTGTTCTAATTGTACATAAAGGAAGGGGAGGTAGAAGACAAGGAGAAGAGGGAAAGTTCATTTAAATTAGTGAATTTTTTAGGGTAATTAGAAGGTAAACCTACTAAATGTTTTTTACCACCAGACCAGCTGCTTCATGGTGGAGAGACATTAGAAAGATATCTTTTATCGATTTTTCATGTATATTTTGAAAAACTATTTCATTCTGAAAAATTTGTTTTCTCTAAACAAATTTTTAAAATTGTGTATTGAGAAATATTACATTCTGTCTCAAATATGGAAAATTATAACTTAAGTCAGGGAACACATTTACACGATAGTTACTGAAATATTATTCAATAAATTAAGTAATAGCAATATAATACATAAGAATAAAAACAAAATAAAACAGTATAAAGAAAAAAATTTACTTCAAAAGGTAAAATAAACATCTTTAACATACTATATGCTATTTACAATTAGTCAAGGGCACTCTTAAGCTGTCTTGTTCCCCAAATTATGGAGGAAAAACTAGGTTCCAACAGATCCCAGTGCTTCTCTCTCAACTGCGTCACCAGTGTTAAAGCCAGTAGAGGTTGACTGAGGGTGCCATAACCACATACTTTCTCTAAAATTAAAAATTGAAAAAATTTCCTTTACAGGTTTTCTCTGTACCCTACAACAATAACATATGTCAGAACTACAAACGAGCTAACATCTCTGTTTTTGCCAACGATATAGCCGTTTACAATGCAAGTATAAACCCAGCCAAAGCTCTAGCTTAAGCTGAATCAGTTTGACAAATGATTCTGCAGAAGTTGGAACTCTTACACATAAAAGTGAATAGCTCAAAAACTGATTGTGTTGTATATTTCAATTTTGGACAGTTTATTCGAAAAAGAAACATCAAATTTATGGATTCATTGAAAGCATTTCCAAATTCGTTTTTCAATACGCTAACTCCAGCACCGGCTCCAGTTCGGTGGCAAAACAGCTCAGTATCTTCTACAAATCTTAGATCGTAAGTTAGTAATAGGACACTTTTAAACAAAAAAAAAAGAGTGAAACCCATCACCATATTGTTAACTTTAATCATCATTAGATACGACAAAACAAACACTTTTGAATTACAACAAGGCCTTAAAATGTAACATGGTTGTAGAAAAAGGCGTTCTACACATCACTTGTCAAATGTATAATTAATTTAAATATAGTTATTTTTTTATTTTATTTTATATTATATTTGCAACTGTGTTTTTGGATGCATCTTGCAAATGTGCTGTCGTCCATTTTGTCTGCTATTTCTTGAAAATGTGTTCATATTGTGAGCAGATCACAAGGCCACTGCCTTTTTAGTCTTCTTTGAGGCTCTCTTGATAACAGGGAGGAAGAAAGAGAGAGGACAAGTGGATTATGGTGATTAATAGTTGAAGTGTGGAAGGTGGCTTATTTGTTATGTAAGTAGGTTTTACTGTTGGAATGTTCATGTCGCTGTGTATGGTGTGATTTGAAATATACCAGGGTACATTTACGATTTTTTGAAATATTTTGGACTGTGCAGTTTTGCGAAACCCAAAAGTTCTGCTCCATATGTCCAAATAGGTCATAGTATGGAGGTGTCGATTAGTCCCTTAGTTTGTAAGTTCAGAGGAGATCTATAATCCAAAAAATGTGACAGTTTTTTGTATCATCTGGTGAGTTCTTGTTTTTTTTAATTTGGTGTGTATGTTTATGAAAAGAAAAAAAGTACTTGTGAACGTACTCGTACTGCTGTCGATTCCAAGCATTAATTTATTTTTTGGGCTTGGTTTAAAGGGCATCTTACTTAGCTGCATTATATGATACACAATCGCTAATAATGATTAATGTAGTTACAAAGTAAAAGTGACTTGGCTGCATCTCCATCACTATAATGGATGCTATGGCAAATTCAAACATTTTTCTTCCAACGATTCCATAAGGATGTGCTTGTTCATCTACTTTAAAAATTTTTAGCTTAAAGTATTCATGCATTTATGTTAAATAGATTATACTAGATCCATCAAACATCAATAAACCTCACACACATCAAAACACTTTATCTAACATGCAATTTAAATAAATAATGATAGGCTATTATGAGGTTTGTTAAGCACCATAAGCCCCACGGCAAATAGTGTTCGGATGCAGGAAATATAGGAAAGAAAGAGAATATGAATTAGCACAGAAGCAAGACATGACTTACTAAATTTCTTAATCACAAAGAAGATCAAGAAGATTAAAATGTTTTTCACAATTACAAAATATAGAATTTAGTCAAGTGGGAATCTAAGAAATCTTTTATTTACATATGTACATGTGTTTCTTTGAAAATATATATTAGCATGATAGGATTTGGCGTCAAATCTTCATGGTCACTTGTAACAATAAAAATTGTTTAAAAATTAAAAAAAGAATAGGTAAAGAATAATTATAAAACACCTGAACTTTTCATTACTCGGCAACTGAGTAGTGGCAACTTTTCACTACTTAACAAAATATTACTAAGAAAGAAAGGATATAAACAAGATAAAAGTTTTAAATAATATTTATCGACATGAAAGAATTTTATATGAATTAAATTTATATCTAGAATTTTAAAAATTTGACACAAACTCTTTATACATTAATAATATTGTGAGATCTGTACCAATGCTATCCCATAAGACACTTATTAGTTAAGAATTTCTTTTTAACTTGCTGAACGAGAATGGTAATTTTTTATATGGACTGCTATAAGATTACCATCTAAAGTGAAAGATAAAAATTTGAATCAGAAGTATATCTTTGAATTTGAACATTTGAATCCGAATAATATCTGAGAATGATTTGAATTCATGAATTTTTAAGTTTGTATTCACAATAATGTCTACTCAAATACACCATAACAGATGCCCTTAGTGCTAAAAGGCCTGTTAATGAATTATAACTAATCTTTAAAGTGAAGTAAACAAACAGTCATTTGTAAAGGGACACTAGGCCATTCTGTATCAGCAGTGCCCTAAGCAATTGCGAAATACTCAGTCCCAAAAAAAAAAAATTTATAAATTTTCATGTTTTAATATTTTTTTCTTTCAAGTTTATTATGTTAAATAAGTACTGTGTAAGGGCTAAAATCATAAAAGACGCCCTAGTACTTCACCAAAGTTTAAAATTATATAGATATCAATTTTCCGATAAATCTAGCAAGGTGTTTAAGAAGATATAAAAGTATATTCCCTTCGGGTGGATAAGATTTCCCGATTTCTGTAGGGTTTTTTTAATTTAAATTATTTTTTTATTTAATCCTTTTTAATTTTTAAGTATTGATAATTTAGATTCAACACATATGATCAAGATCTTATTGAGATGGCAAATAAGTCCTTTCGATTTTTCTGTATATTTTTATGTCAGTATGATACACTTCTTATCTCATGAATTAAGCGATCAGGGTCGTTTATCCTGTTTGTAATATGTCAACAACTATATCTGTTAACTCTTTTTGGAACTAACTTAGTATTGTGTTTGCTATTTCAATGTGAGCATGGAAGAAAAAATCATGCATTATCGACATATTTTGTTGTATTATTTTAAAAAAGGTAAGCGTGCTGCAGAAGCTCATAGAAACATTTGCAGTGTTTATGGGGATGATGCCTTAACCGAACGCGTCTGTCAAAATTGGTTTGCTAAATTTCATTCAGGAAATTTTGACATCAATGATGCTCAACGTTCTGGTCACCCACATTAAATTGAAACAAGCAATGTTAAGGCCATTGTTGATAAAAAATCCCACCCATTCAGAGCCAGAGATTTCTATGGCCCTAAATGTCTCCCACAAAACCATTTCCTCAAGCTCGGCTATGTTTCCAGACTTAATGTTTGGGTGCCTCACATATTTTTTCAAAAATCACAAACAATGTTATAACCTCAGTACAACTTTAGCTATCTATAAGAAATTTAGCTGGAATTTAGGGCCACATAAACTACACAAAATGACATCAACAGGACCTTCGTAAACAAACTACAAATGGAGATACAAAATGAAAACCTATAAGGAGTTTTTATTTATTTATTCCTTATGTAGCCATTAAATTAAAAACATCCATGCAGCTTTGAGGAGCAATAATTCAGCTTTTCAACGGTTATAGTAACATCAAAGTTGGAAAACATCCTGAAGAGTTATGAATGATCGGAAGGATGTTTTGTTCAACCAAGACAACACTACAACGGCCCCACACCTCATTGGCCATTCTCAATAAATTATTGAGCCTTGGATGGGTCCTTTTGCCCCATCTACCCTATTCCGCAGACCTAAACCCAAGCATCTACCACTTATTCCGGTCTCTGACGAACTCAATGAATGGAAAGAAATTCCAAAAGGAAGAGGATATCAAAAACCAATTGGATCAGTTTTTAAACAATAAATTCCAGACATTCTATGAGTATGGCATTATGGAGTTAGTGGAAAGGTGGAAAAAAGTCATATTAATTAATGGTCAATATATTGTAGATTAAAATAAATTTTAAATCTATAATACATGGAGTTTATATCACCATGAAAAAGCGAAAGGACTTATTTGCCAACCCTGGATAATATGGTATGAAACCAATACAAATTTGAGAATACTTAAAATACAATATCATTGAATATTTTTTCAGTATTTTTAGTCCAAATAGTTTCGAAACATTCACAAGATCTCACTGATTATGAGTCTTTTGAACTATTTAACTTAAAAATTGTCCAAGTCGTTTGCTCAATAAGTCGTAACAAAATTTTCAATGGTCAGATTAAGAACATTTTATACAATGATTTTCAATGTTTTGAACCCAAATTATTTCAAAACACTTTTGTGACCTAAATGGAAAATTTAGGCCATTAAACATATTTACACGTTTTTTAATGAAACGCTTTATTTTTAAAAAACACTTATTTATTACGAAATTAAAAAT